CCATCGCCGCCGCCGCCGCCTCCCGGCGGGTCGCCTCCAGGCGGCCCCCCGCCACGCCGGCGCCGGCGATCTGGAATGACACATGGTTCCGTTTGGCGTTTGGCCCCCGTCGCCTCCAGGGTAGAAGACGCAACCGCCCCCGCCGTCGCCATCATCACCATCTCCGCCGTCGCCACCAGGAGGACCTGAGCCTGGATGCCTTGGCACTGGCGCCCTCCCTGGGGGGTTGCCTTGTTCTCCTTATCTGCCTGTTTGAAGATGCTTGGCAAGCTCCCTGGCACCAGAGGTGTGCATCCTGGGAAAGAGGTCGCCATGCCAGGGCAAGCTGCTCCCGGATCGGCGCCGACCAGGGCGGCAGCCGCCTCGGCCCTTTCCTCGCGCATCCCTGGGATTTTTACTCCACGCCCAGCGCGTATCCCGGCGATTTCCTCTTCGCGCTGCAAGGCCTGCTCGAAGTTTCTCATGTTCGGCCCTCGTAGCTTCTTCATACTCAAATAATCTCTCCGGTCCAACACCCTCGGCCGGGCGAACGTCGCCACCCGAGGCATTGCCCAGGGCGCGCACTGGCCGAAGCGATCGATCACTCACCGAGCGCCATCCTTTGGAGCCACCACGGCCCCCAAAATAGCCGCCGAATTCCGACGGAGTTGCGCGGCATTTCCTCATTTTCTTTAAAAAATGCAGCGCTGGGCGCGCCGGCCAGCCGCAATGCCCCCTGGCGAGCACCCATTTCGAACCAGACATCACCGCGGCCGTCGCCATCATCACCGCCACAACCACAAAATAACAAACGTTACAATCATCGTCGGACTGAGGGCAAGTCGGCCTGCGTCGCCGCGCATCGACTCTTCGCCGCAGCCGAGTGCTGCGAGCCCCCAGCAGCATCCGTCGACAGCTGTCAAAAGCTAGTCCTCGAAAGGGCCGGCCGCCAGGAGGGCCGCCGAAATCGTCGCCGAAATCGTCGCCAAAATCGCCGCCGAAATTGCCGCCGAAATCGCCGCCGAAATCGCCGCCGACATTGCCGCCGAACTTGCCGCCGAACTTGCCGCCGAACTCACTGCCGAAATTGCCGCCGAAATTATTGGAATAATTGCGAACTCCGCCCTGTCGCAAGCGAAGTCACTGTTGCATTAGGCGCGATGACGCCGCAGACACAAGCATAAAGTCACAGCCAAGGTCAAATTCGGCGTCTTATCGGCGGAGCAATCTGGGATTTCGGCCGATATCTCGGCGGCAATCTCGGCTGCGATTTTGGCGGCAATCTCGGCGGCGATTTCGGCGGCTATTTCGGCGGCACTTTCGGCGACAACTCTGGAGGCCCATGCGACGGCTCTTTCGGCGGCCCTTTCGGCGGCAATTTCGGCGGCAATTTCGGCGGCCCTTTTCGACTGCTCTTCGGCGGCCCTGTCGGCGGCATTGCCACTGCCAACTGTCGACAGTATCTGCTGGGATCCTCTCGGCACTCGGCGGCCCCGGCGGGCCCTGAGAGGGCCCTGGAAGGGCCTCGCCAGACAGCGTCTGAGAAGTAGCTCAAGCCATGCGTGGCCCGCGCGCGATAGCATACGCAACGCGCAGAATGAATGCCTCGCATCATGCGCCAGCAGGCCCTGAAGCGCGGGGGGGGGCCACCGCGCGGCAGGGCGCGCATGCGCGCGGATTCCCAAAAACGAAATCAATTTCGCCTGGAATGGATTTCGGCGCGAGCCCCTCTTCGTCTCCGAAGAAAAAGCCACTGCGAGATCGCGAGACCGCCCGTGGCACGGGCGCAGCGGGGGTCTGCTCCTGGAGTTTATTGCCTGACGTTCCTCCCTCTCTGTCTCCCGGTGTCTCTCGTCTGCCTCGCTCTTTTCTGCCGCAGAGTACGGCGCGCGCGCGTCTCGCCACCCAGTGCGAAATGGGTCGTCACAGACGCCTTTAACGCGGGGCGGGCAGTCGCGAGCAGCCACTTTGGAGGGCAGATGACGCCACCGAACTCCCGCGCGGATTTCCGACCCGACTTCCCACGCGCGGCCGGTCGCCCAATCGCGGCCGGCGCCGACGAACGCGCAATAGACGTCGCCGCTGCGCCCGCTTGGGCCGCCGACCCGGCGCCCGAAGACGTCGCCGTGGATGCTCCGATCGGGCGCCACTGGATCTGGTGCTGATCAAACTCGCGACGCAGACTGTCCCGCTCGGCTTCCCGGCCCATCATCACCCGGGCAGCCTCCAACTCCGATGCGCCGGTGTGCGCTGCGACTTTCTCAGCAACGGCCACCTCGACTCGTCGCATCTTCTCGCTGGCGCGTGGCATCGCGGCCTCGGAACGAGCATAGCTCTCATCCGCGACGATGCGGTTCGTCTCGACCTGCGTAATAGCAGCGGCAGCCTCTGCGGCTAGTCGCGCGTTCCGATCTCGGCCGCTTGCAACTCCTTACACTGTCGCGCGCTGAGCTTCACCGGCCCCCCGGACAGCGCATCTCGCCTCCTCTGCTAGGTGCTCCTCCCGGAGAGGCGCCTGACGCTGGGATGCAACGGTAATGTTGAGCCTGTTGGCAAGCTCTCTCATGTCCTCTGTCGCCGCGGAAGCCCGTTGAGTCGCCGCCGCCACTCGGCGCCCCCCCAGGCGACGCGCGGCTTTCACCGTGGCCTCCCGGCATGGCTCCAAAAGAAGGGCGGCAACCGCTTGTTGTCGCGCCTCCGACTGCCTGCGTTGGTCGCGCACGTCAGCAACATCCCCCCCCCCCCCCCCCTCATCTCCATGATCTCAAACCTCTGCCTCTCCTCAGCTTCGCGCCATTCATTCACGCGTAATCCAGCGCAGTTGTGAGAGCTAGGAGCGATGCATGTTGGGCAGAAGAAGGCAAGGTTGCAGAGGCAGCAAATGTCGGAACACCCGAAGCAGAGAGGCTTCTCACACTGGCTGGATAAACCAGGGCACCGCGACTCTGGCACTACTCCGCACGTCAGCCCACGATTGCCACACTTGGCTTTGATGCGCACTCTGAAGTCGCTCGACCTGCCCGACAAGATGGACGAATCAGATACCTCGGATCGCGGTCTTGCGACCCTGGGTCCGCCTCTCTCGGCGCTCCTCTTGCGGGGAGAGCGGGCGCGTAAATCAGGCGCCCCAAACTTCAAGGTCCGCGGTGAGGGCCCGGGAGCATAGCTCCTGGGCATCCCCCCTGGAGCGGACGCAGGGTGGTGCTCCGGGATGTCGCCAGACCTAGTTCGCCTCCCGAGTGGCGGGGTGATCTAAAATCTACTGGGATCACGTCTCTGTTTGCTCGTCGTCCTTACGGGACCGCCCACAAATTCTCCATCCACGATTTCATCCAAATTCCGCTGCAAAGAGTCATCAAATGGGATCGCGGCATCCTCGCGGTGTGTGGGCGGCACCTGCGCAAGGGGGGTGTTGGATATCACCCAATGGAACACGAGACGCTCGGTCATAGACCTCACCGCCCCCGTGGTGTGGCCAATGACCGTTATGATGGCCGACGGGTTTGGTCGTTGACCTGCGAATGCAACTGTCCTCCGACGAAATCGATTCCACGTCGTGGCCACCGTCAGAAAGATGGATTGGGACATCAGGTTGATCATCACATGGTATGAGGTCGTCATCATCTTGTCCCTCCTTTTTCTCTTCGGGGCACTAGGACGAGGCTCGGCACCAAATGAAAGCCCAGCAAACCTTGGAGGGAGGACGTCGGCCTGGTTCCCCGACATACTCGGCACAACCTCGATCAGCAACATCCGCGCTCATTTCATGGCGCGATTCTGCTTTAGGACGTACATCATTTTTGGGCGGTTGGAACACAATTCCCTCATCTGGCAAAACCACTTTAGTCGAATATATAAACTTCGGCTGATAGCCAGCACTTTGCAAATTCATTGATATCATGGGCTCGTTGTAAGCCGTGTAAATTCGCATAATATGATCACGATCAGTTCGTATTTGTTTTCCATCGTCTTCTTCCTGTAGTAGTCTCTTGATCAGGTTCATTTTCGATGTGGGTGATGTGTCTCCCACCGCCATGGCTGGATGAGTATGGTAGTGTCCGTTAAGTTTGGGCTCACAATAAGATATGAATCGGGGGCAAGGCCAGCGGGGGGGGCGCCAGGGAGGGCGCGCGCGCCGGGCGGGCGGGCCGCGCTGTTTGTACTCGAGTCAACCCACAACAGCTGCGTCGAAACGGTGGGTCAGAAATCGGCACGGGGGGATGACTAAATCAACTGTCCTCTTTATCTCCTCCTCCTCCTCCTCCTCCTCCTCCTCCTCTTCCTCATCCTCTTCCTCCGATTCGCATCACGTAACGGAGCCAAATCGCCGAGAATGCGCGGTCCCAAAGGATCCGGACCCCTGCCTCGGTGCCAGTGTTTCGCCCCGGATCATTCAACGACCCCTGGAAGCGCAAATCGAAAGAAAAAACGCCAGTGGACGAAAATAAGATCGTCTGGGATCTGGGAAGATGTCAGCCCCAAAATCCACGCAGGCAAACCATCTGGAGCCTAACAAAAAGTAGCACCTCATGCCGCACCGCGACCTTCCCCCCCCTCCCCGCGCGGCCGAAAAAACAGTCCCCGCAAATCGGAGGAAGAGGAGGAGGAGGAGGAAGAGGAGGAAGAGGTAGCCTCGATCCTTCCCCCCGGGCAGGTGACTCATCCCGAGTCGTTTCTTGACGGTCCCGAGGCCCGACGAGGGCCCCTGGGGGCAGAAAACGGCAACCCTCGCGGCGCGAGCACGTCTGGGCCTGGGCCCGCACCAGAGGCTACTCTGGCGAAGGGGAAAGGCGCGCGCCTGAAAAGGGCACGGAGAAAATGGACACGATGTCCAACATCAAATGTTGTCCAAGGACAGCGGCCGCTGTTGGGCAGGCGACGATTTGCCTTCCATGGGCAAGGCATCGTCCGCGGCGACACCGACAGCGAGCCCTCTCCAAAATGGACAAGACCTGCTGTCGGTTTCCGTAACCCGCTCCTCCCGTTACCCATCTCGACCGTACCGAAGGCAAGGCGCGCGCCTGAGTCGCGGCTGGCGCCCTTGCCGCCGCCCCCCTTGCCTCCGCCCTTGTCGCCGCCCTTGCTGCCTCGCCCCGCGCGCGCGGCGCGATGCGGCGCCGGCCGCCCACGTTCCGGGGGTGGGGCGCGCGCCGGCCCACGAGGCCGAGGCCCTCCCGAGGCATCCGACGTGCAGCCAGAGTCCACAGCACCGCGGGATCGTGTCGTGACGACCTCGGCGGGGACCGCTCAGCTTTGAACAAGCGGCCGGTTCCGAGACGTCAGACCGTTCAACGTCGACCGGGCTCGGGTCGCGTTCAACGGAGAACAGGAGCGGCCTGGACGAAGCAGCGCGTCCGTACTGCAGATTTTGACTGTTAAGATGAGGGCCGCTGTTTTGTTCGTCCTGATCGGCCTCCGGGGGGACTCCTTGGGAAAGGGTCGGGACTTCCAGGGACCCCGCAGTAGAAAAACAATACATAAGAGAATCAGATGTCCATGTCCTCCTCCTCCTCCTCTTTGTCCTCCTCCTCCTCCTCCTCCTCCTCCTCCTCCTCCTCCTCCTCCTCCTCCTCCTCCATGTCTTCTCCACCCTTATACTTGTTTCTCTACTCCCTCCTACTCCTTCTCCTCCTGCTCCTCCTCCTCCTGCTGCTCCTCCTCCTCCTCTTCCTTCTCCTCCTCCTCCTCCTCCTCCCCCTCCTCCTCTCCTCCTCCTCCTTGTCCTCCTCTTCCTCCTCCTCCTCCTCCTCGTCCTCGTCCTCCTCCTGCTGCTCCTCTTCCTCCTCCTCCTCCTCCTCCTCTCTGCTCCTCCTCCTCCTCTTCCTTCTCTCTCCTCCTCCTCCCCCCTCCTCCTCCTCCTCCTTGTCCTCCTCTTTCCTCCTCCTCTCCTCATCCTCGTCCTCCTCCTGCTGCTCCTCTTCCACCTCCTCCTCTCCTCCTCCTCCTTCCTCCTCCTCCTCCTCCTCCTCCTCCATTTCTTCACTCCTTCCTCCTTCCCACTTCCTCCTCCTGCTCCTTCCTCCTTCCTCCCCCTCCTTTTTCCTCCCCTCCCCCCCCCTGGCCACTCCTTCGTCCTCCCTTCTCCCTCCCTCCTCCCCCCCCCGACCAGCAGTGCTAGCATGACTGGCCGTTGCCGAATCACATCCAGCGTAGGTAGAGCCTCGTTCGGGCACGTCGGAGAGGGGCAAGCATCGCACGCTGGTCAAGGATTCCATAGCGGCATTCAAGAAGCGCATCCAGTCATTGAAAGATGTGAAGGCCGAGGAGGCTCGCAGTGGAGAAAGCGAATTGGGGCTGCCGGTCCTGTAGTTCATGTACTTGTACTCTTAGCCTGCCAAGGAGAGGGCGCTGAACCAGCGCTCATACGTGGAACGTGTTTCCAAGAGGTTGAAGTTCGCCCAGTCCGAGGAGACGAAGGCTCTGGCTGCGCTCGCGGCCGCCGCCCTTCATCGCCAGTCTGTCGAGCAAGATCTTCGGCAGGCCACAGTCAAGCTCACGGAGTTCGAGAGTCTCGCAGAAACGCGGCCAAGAAGGTGGTTTTCGAGGAGCAGTCCAACCTGATGTCGCCGCCTTCACCTTTCGCCCCTGCTGTCCAATCGTCGTTCCAGGCAGCCGCGTGCGTTTCTCCTTCTCTTCCTCAAGGAATTGCAGAGTTGCAGGCTGGCCAGGCGGGCATGGCAGCAAGCTTTTGTTCGATCCTGCCTACGGCAAAGTTGAGCTATTTAACACAAGACCTTCCTCTGGGCCCTTTGACTTCTGGCACGCGATGACGAGCCTGGACGTAGGCCTTGCTGCAGCTTCGTCAACTGCTTCTTGCCATATCTAGTCAAACAAAACTTACAGCCACCTGCCAAATTACGAATAGCTTGTGTGGTCACGCAGCCACAAGCAAGACAGACTGTGCTCCCGAACTCCTGGTGATAAGCCAAGGTATGGGAGCTGTGCAAGCCTTGGCCGTTCACAGTGCTTTTAGTGGGCACCATCATCAACCCCTTAAACAAGCCCTGGTGGCATGGGGTCGCTAAGAATGGATTCGCCAGCCTATACGGAGCAAAACCACCGCACGTGTGGCATCTGACCTGGGAGCCGGGTCCCAGGGTCCCATGACTGGTTGATGGGCAGTGAGCGCGAGCTGGATCTTAATCTCGCGTCTCTTGGGACGGAGCGTGGCCTCTCTCGGCTCTCTGTTCCCATCGGCCTCGATCGACGCTAGAAGTGTGGCCCAGGTGCTGACGGACTTGGAATGCTATCGCCTGGGCGTGGGACCTGCTGTCTATGTGCTGCACTGGCACTCGGAGATTCTGGGCCAACAGTTCCGCAATCATGTCGGCCATCTCATTCAAAATATAAAAAAAGGATCGGCCTTGGCCAACACAACACCTCTCGTGGGGTGCTCTGCCAGGAGGTCCTTGACACTTTGCCACACATCGAAGTGTGATTTGGGAAAGACTCCACAGCGGATCTCATTGAAATCCTTCACAACATACGATGAGTCCGTCACACCAAAACAACCAAAACACATCGGCAACAGGGAGGACAGCGTTGAGGCACTGCAACAGGCTAAGAGCTCCCCCCTGTTGACCGACTGTCTCCAGCCAGGCGCATTCCCGAACTCCACAGCGTGCGCCGTGAGCTCCCTGGGACTGCGCTGACCTCCCTGGCGAAAGCCTATGAAAACAACCCAGGACCAGGCAACGCGACGGAAAGCTGGGTCCTGCGAATCAGGCCCACCACTGGCATCTCCTCCTCCAAACACAAAACCATCAACCACCGCCCCCTGGAGATCATCCCCAAAGGCCTCGAATTCTTCATCTTGCAGCGGCGGGGGCTCGGCGGTCCAGCTACGCGGCGTCAGTCCACGCAGCCAAAAGCTCGGGTTACTTTCCCAGTCAGCCAGGGCTCTCCTGCGAACGAAATCTGAAACCTTGGAGATGCGACCCATTCTCAGGACTGCCTCATGCTCTGCGCACGTCACATTCAACAAGCCCACCACAACGTTTGCAAGTGCTGTCCTGAGTCAGTCCGCACCCCCGAAGCCTAGCACGCGGGCAGCTACTACCTGTGGCCACAGCCCGCAGCACTCCTCTCCATTTAATATGTCCTTTCTTAGCCAGCCACTTCAACTGACGCTTGACATCATACGGATCTGGAACTAGCTCAAGGCCCGACCCGTTCCGCGAATTGGCGGCCGCTGCTGTCCACAATTGGCGCTCCGTAATCTGAGCTGAGGCCTCAAACAGATCCGCGAGGTCAGCCGTACCGCGCCCGAGCCTGGTATCTGAGATCGCGCACCGCTCCCCCAATTTGGACGCCCGACATGGGTACTGAAATAATGGGCACAATGCCCAATAACAAATGTTGTCCCAAACCAGCAGCGGCCGCTGTTGGGTAGGCGGCCTTCTGTCTCAAATGGCAACAGGCCGCGGCGGCGCGGACAGCGAGTCCTGTTCAAAATGAACAGGAACTGCTGTTGGGCATTGTACCCATTCTTTCCGTACCCATGTCGTTCGTGCCGACCCAGGTCACTCTCCCAGGCCAGGGACCGCAAGGTTTCCAACCCACATCCAGTAGAGCGTCGATGGCGGCAGCTGCAGGAGTGCCAACGCCTCGCCATATGCCACCTGCTGATCTCGCCCAAATGTTGACGAGCACTCTTCTCCAGACACGTCTAGTCTTCCCAGCATCGAAGCTTGAGTGGATTAGACTATGAAACCTCGCGTCGGTAGTGTCAAACGTGGCGAAAAAGGCGAGCCCCTTCCTGCCATACTCAAGCGCAAGGAGGGTCGTTAAACACCGTCCACCCCTTGAACACCCCCAGACAGCCGCCCAAGCGCTCTCCGCCAACCGAGGACTGCACTGGGTGGGGTGCCATGGGCCTTATCTGAGTACCTGGCCTTTGAAAAAGCCGAGGTTAAGGCCATCTTGCGGGCTCATCCCTCACATATGCGGGTGCCCTTGCCAAGCTTGCCGAGGCGCTGAAGTCAACGCTCAGCCCCTGCACGACGCCCAGCCTGCTTGGGCCTGCTTGCCTTGATCTGGCTACGATCGATGCCTAGATCTGCCACTACACGCTTGGCCTGCGCGCTGACTCTTTGCTCCACGAAGAAATCCTGAAGCCGCACGGCCTAACTTGGATGGTCGACTTTGGAGCGAGATGGTCGACTTCGGAAATCCCCAGGAGGACGAGACGATGGCCGATTTTGGAGCGATCTGGAGCTTGAGCGCGCGTGGACCCTGGACCAAATCAAGTCCAACCCTAGAAAGCTTTGCAAGAACTCTCTCGCTGCTGCCAGACATGCACTGGACAATATCATCAACCCAGGTGTGCAATGAAGGGAGTGGGGGTCCAATGGCAATCTTCCTACACACGAACTGCAGGGCCGCACGGCGTCGGTCCACTGCCCCACTGCCCCACTGCAATCAGAGACATGCCAGGATGCACAGGCAGAGAGAAACCTCCTGTCTCCCTCACAAACCTAGCGGCCATGTGGACCTGGAGCTCCAGGGCCAGATAGCAGGGGGGGAACTCCAATTCCAAGGCATGGTCCAGGACTTGTTTTTACTGTGCGCTCGGCTGCACGAGCTGGTGGCAGATAAGGTCAAACTCGGGCGGCACTCACCTACACCGCTCAGCAGCCTCGCTTGGGAAGCGCGCTCGAGCTTGCAGTGCCACGGGCACGTCACTTGTTGTGAAGGTGTGTTGCCACCTCGAAGAGTTAGGAGGTCCAGGATCCGAATCCCAGCGCAGGCTGCCATAGAAACCTCCAACATCCCAGAGCAGCCTGCCGCTCCGGTGGATCGGGCAGGCCGGAGGGCGCAGCTTGCTCATCCATCGAGAACGAGTGGGCGTCTGGGAGTCGAGGAGGAGGAGGAGGAGGCGAAGGAGGAGGAGGAGGAGGAGAAGGAGGAGGCGGAGGAGGAGGAGGAGGAGGGAGGAGGAGGAGGAGGGAGGAGGAGGAGGGAGGAGGAGGGAGGAGGAGGGAGGAGGAGGAGGAGGAACAGGAGGAGGAGGAGGAGGAACAGGAGGAGGAGGAGGACGTGAGTATATCCCCCCCTATCGTGTCCCGCGGTGGCTCTCGGGCCACAG